TTTCGTAGATACCCGACATCTGTGAACTTAATGGAATTCAAGAGACTCAGAGCTTGTGCCCGCTGGACTCGGAAGCAGGCTAAAGGAAAATCTTGGCGAGGTTACTTGTCCTCCATCAGCAGCTATGTTCCAGCAAAGGAAGTGTGGGACCGACTTCACAAGGTCGAGGGGAAATACCGCTGTTTTACAATCCCCCTTTTTCCGTCTTCTGGAGCCTCATTGCTAGACCAGGCTAACGTGTTGGGCACTCACTTCGCTGCTGTTTCAAGCTCCGCACATTACTCCCCAGCATTCCTGAAGCGTAAGGCAAACATGGAAAAGACGAGGCTCTGCTTCACAGGGGGAGCGTCTGCACCTTACAATCAGCCATTTACAATAGTTGAGCTCGAAGTGGCTCTCAACTCCCGCAAGAATTCTGCCCCCGGTCCCGATAGAATTCACTATGACATGATCCGGCACTTATCTAGAGAGTCACTTAGTGCCCTTCTCACATACTTCAATGGCCTGTGGTGTGATGCCTACTTCCCTGTTGAATGGAAGCGGGCTGAAGTTATACCGCTGTTGAAACTTGGCAAGGACCCCTCCTTTCCTGCAAGTTACAGACCAATAGCATTGTCAAGTTGTCTGGGGAAAACCTTTGAAAGATTAATTAACAGACGTCTTATTTATTTTCTTGAGCAACATAAAATCTTGGATATTAATCAGTGTGGCTGTCGTCCTGAGCGCTCTACAACAGACCACTTGGTGCGGCTGGAGACCTTTGTGCGCGAGGCATTTGTCAACAGGCAGCATTGTGTATCTGTTTTCTTTGATTTAGACAAGGCCTATGACACCACTTGGAAGTATGGCATCTTGCACGACCTTTTTATGTACGGAATACGTGGTAGAATGCTTCAGTGTATAAAGAGCTTTTTGTGTAAACGCACTTTTCGAGTTCGGTTGGGAACAACTTTATCAGACTGGTTTGTTCAAGAGAATGGTGTTCCTCAGGGTGGAGTCCTTAGTGCCACACTCTTTGCAATAAAAATTAACTCTCTTAGCAAAGTCATTCCTCCTTCAGTATCTTACTCGTTATATGTCGATGACATTCAGATATCTGTAGCGTCATGTAATATGTCTAGCTGTGAGCGGCAGCTACAACTGGCCATAAATAAAATGACTACATGGGCTGATGAGAATGGTTTTAGGTTCTCTCCGGATAAAACTGTTTGTGTTCCTTTTTCTTTAAGGCGTGGCCTCTGTTTAGATCCTACACTTCTGTTAAATAGAAACAACATTGCTGTCAAAACGGAGCACAAGTTTCTAGGAGTTACTTTCGACCGTAAACTTACCTTTGTTTCGCACCTCAAACAACTCAAGCAAAAAACTCTGCAGGCATCGAACATACTCAAAGTTCTTTCGCACAAGTCGTGGGGCTCGGATAGGAAATGTCTCCTTCGTCTATATTCCTCGCTCATTCGATCCCGCCTTGACTATGGCTCAATTGTCTATGCCTCTGCGAGACCGTCTGCTTTAAAAATGCTCGATCCAGTACATCACCTTGGGCTGCGTTTGGCATCTGGTGCTTTTCGCACCTCCCCTGTGCTTAGCTTGTATGTTGACTGTCATGAAATGTCACTTGAAAAAAGGCGACAGCTACTTAGCCTCAACTATGTTTACAAAATTTTGTCGGACCCCAGCTCCCCCACTTATAGTTGTATTCAAAATTCTAGGTTTTCTCGCCTCTTTAACCATAAGCCAACTGTTGTGCGGCCCTTGAGCTTTCGTGTCGAGAGTCTTCGCTCCTCCCTCAATCTGACTCTTGATTTTAACCTCTTGAATAGTTCATACCATACTGCCCCATGGAATGTCAAACCCATTTTTTGTGACTGGTGCTTCACAAAATTCAGGAAGCAAAGAGTCTCACCTTTAATTTTACAACAGGAATTCTTTGCATTGGAGGAAAAATACAAAGATTATAATCATTATTACACTGATGGTGCAAAGTCGTCAATGTATGTTGGTGCGGCTGTATACTCTTCTCGTTTTTCCAAAGTCGCTCGTCTAAATACTCTTGCCAGTATTTTTACTGCCGAGCTGTATGGGGTCATGATGGCGCTTGACCATATAGTTCAGACTAAAATAAAGAAAGCCATCATCTTTGTAGATTCTCAGAGTGTTGTTCGGGCTGTATGTTCTGTTTTATTAACAAAGAATCGGCTGACCCGGACTGTGCGTGTTAAGGTACAGCAGGGCCTACAGGATGGTCACGACATTAGGTTTTGCTGGATTCCTAGCCATGTGGGCATTGCAGGCAACGAGGCTGCAGATAAACTGGCCGTCTCTTCGCAAAATCTTCCCGTGTCACATGTCAGCATCCCCCACCAAGACTTAAAAATGCCTATAAGACTTGCAGTCTTGCAATCGTGGCAGTCTGAGTGGGATATAGAGGTTAACAATAAGCTTCACACCATCAAGCCAGACCTTGGTACTTGGGAAACATCTTACAATAAAAATAGATTCCACGAGGTCCTCATATGCCGCCTGAGAATCGGCCACACCTACCTCACCCATAGCTACCTGCTTACTAGTGAAGAACCTCCAGCCTGTGAGCGCTGCGGTGAACCTCTGACTGTTCTTCATATTTTATTTCTTTGTCCTGGTCTTCGGCAGCAGCATAAATTCTTTTTTCCTGATTTTTTCAAGTATCACATTCTATTCCACCCTGCCTTGCTGCTTGGTGAGCGGCCACTAATCTCATTCAAACGTCTTTTCGATTTCCTTGAAAATACCGGATTTTTAAACAAACTTTAGAACTATTCTGCTCCCCATAGTTTAATTCTACTCACCCTTTTTTACTGACTCACCTTGTTTGGCGCAGTATGGCCATTGATGCTCTTGCGCCATTAAAACCGCAAACAACAACAACAACAAAGCATGGCAACATCGCTCCATTTACCCTTTGGTGAAGCTGCTTTGCTGAGGAGCAATGAGAGAGTTGCACCTTGGGACCTTCTGCCAATCTCTTGTGACTGGTCACAGTCCAACTACAGAAAGGGAGCTATTTCTCCACTTGTTCTTCAGCAGGAATTTGCCAATTTGGAACAGAAATACAAGGGTTACTCGCATTTTTACACTGATGGGTCAAAAACATTAACTTTTGTGGGCTGTGCAGTTTATTTCATATCCTTCAGGAAAGTTTGACAACTCAACACTCTGAAATATTTTTACTGCTGAATTGTACGGCATTTTAATGGCTGTTGAGTACTTATTGGAGAACAATATCATGAAAGCAATTCTGTTTGTCGACTCCCAAAGCATTCTTCTAGCCGTTTGGTCCTTAGCAGACAGCAAGAACCTTCTCGTGCAATGTCTTCGGGTACGGCTAAACCGATCACTTCAACGAGGACACCTGATAAAGTTTTGCTGGGTTCCGAGTCACACGGGTATTTCCGGCAATGAAAAAGCAGACTTGCTAGCTGCCTCTGCGAAAGAGTACCCACAAGTGCCTCTTGGCCTGCCACACCGGGACCTGAAACCGATCATACAGAAATCGATTATGGAGTCATGGCAGTTGGATTAGGATATGGAAAAAGAGAACAAGCTTCACAATATCAAGCCCCAACTGGGAGTATGGGAGAGTTCTTTTCATAAAGACCGTCAGGTTGAAGTTCTCCTTTGCCGCCTAAGAATTGGTCATACCCAATTGGCTCACTTGCACCTGCTCCGTGGTGAGGATGTTATACTTTGCGGCAACTGTGGGCAAGCTATGACTATGGCATTGCAACTCTTTAAACCAACAGCGTAGATCATGTTTTTTAGAATGTTTTTGAGATCTCGTTCATTTTGTGCTTGGCGATCAACTCTTGGTACCCTTCAATCGAGTTATAAATTTCCCCCATAAAACTGGCCTATTGCACTAGCTGTAACTTGCAGTTCTCTTAGATTACATCTCTACGCTTCCTGAAAAAACCTTTGTTTGGCACAGTATGGCCTAAGTTTCTCTTGCGCCACAAAACACCAATCATCATCATCATCAAAAAGTGACATCTCTGAAGGGAGAAATTTTCGTAACATACAGCAGGTGGAAAATTATTGTATTGGTAGTTCACTATGAATGTGTGTAGTGAAGTGGGCCTATATTTCATGTTAAAAAAGCCAGAGAGCTTTAAAGGGGTACTCTGGCACTTTCTTCATGGTCCCTAATTTGTCTAAAAATTTCCTAAACAGGCCAACACACGCCGCTGAAATAATATCCAAAATATATATATATATATATATTTTTTTTTTTTTGCAAAGAATTGTGTTTACAATTTTGATCCTCATTGTGTTTTTCAAACTTAAAATCTCTACCGGCAACAACAAAAAAGGTGATGCCAGCGGCAGGAAGGTGTTCACTCTTTGGACTGTAGGATTTGTTTCCAACTGATTACAACCAGTTTCATGGTGCCAGGTTAATGCTTTAGGAGCTCGCTCCAGCACCCGCGCAGCAGCACAAAACAAATGCTCGGCATTTGTTTGGTGCAGAGGAGTTGCAGTGACATCAGAATGACACCGAGCCTTGATTGAAAGGATAGTGGGTAGACCCCAATGCTTGGTGCCTTGAAGTCTACCCACTATGCTTTTCAATCAGCCAAGAAGAGCTCGGCGTTCTGACACCATGGCAAGCCCTGTGCAAGAAGCAGACAAACTTGCTCTCTGCATTACTTTGCAGCAGAAGCATTGAAATTTAGGGCAGCTTAAATGTGATTATGTTTTCCCAGAGGTACCATACTTGCCGATCTAAACACGAGCTTCTTTAACTGCACCCATGCTCAATGCACGTCCCCGTTTTCGACGGGGAGCTGTCACGACTGACTTGAGCATGGAACGTGCCACACAGCCCCCCCCCCCCCCTCTCGGGAATGCCAACCCTGGCGCGTGCTCTTCGCAGTCTCAATTTTCTGTTTTAGTTCTTAGGCTAGGTGGCGCAAGCTATCGCCTGTTATGAAAGGTTCAACCATTAATATCTATCCATCCAGGTTTCGGCAGTGTGACGTGCTCTCTGCAGAGGATGCAGTGTCCTGCCCGGTCTGCCAAGCAAGGGAGCCGCGTCCGATCTGCCTGCTTTCCAGCAGACGACGGACCAGCTGGCCCACAGCAAGCTGACCCAAGGCAGCAAGCCGACTGCAGACGGCCGTCGTACGCCGGGGGTTCTGCCGGCAGGCCCCAAAGCTGCGACAGTGTGGTGTGGCTGCCGTGTGGGACGAGGCGTCTACTAGGACAAATACACTAATTGGGGAAGCACTTTCCCGGAGGACTGCCGACGTGGCAGGTGCAACGACAAACTCTGCAGAAGAGGAGGACGTGTGAAGGCTCGTCGGTCGTAGATCCTTTTTAATTTCCTTTGTTGGTGTTTTGCGGCTTCTACACACCTCCCTTGTGCAGCAGCGTTTTTGCTCCGGGACTGTATGGAACTGCTGCTTATTTATTGCCCTGTGCGGTTGTCCGAGTCCATGTGCTCGACCACCAGGGCTTGGGTGTGAATGATACTATAAAACCAAGTTGTGCTACAATGGCTTCTTTTTTTATTGCAAAAGCATTAACTGTCCCATGGAGTGAGCCGACGTTATCAGTTTGAAGCGCGCCAAACGGCACCTTAACTCCTTTCTCTAAGTGAAGCCAGCTCCCAGCAATGAAACCATGCAAAAAGCCTAAACAATGACACCTAGTTTCCCCGATTCAAAGGAGCGGAGTAAAGCTGATAGATTTCACCTTCGGTCCCATTGGCTGGCGCGCGTCAACGAGGCTCCCATTGGCCACTGCGTGCGTCAGTTTCAACGACCGCCGCCTCATGGCGCTGCATGTCCGTGCCGCAAGCGCGCCTGTAACATGGAGCGTCCGATGTCAGAGCTGAAAAAAGAGCTGGGAGAGTGCGCACATGGCCGAGGTAAATATGCCGCGAACGAAACACGGGAGCGGAAGAATGGCACGCATGCTTTCGCATTCACAACTCATAAGAAGTGCTTAGGTGTACACCGAGCTTTTTTTTTTTTGTTACAATTTACAATGGGCTGTAAAAGTTGATAGTGTAGGAAGTCGCTAATGCCGTGTTAAAATTTCAAATGCGACTCGCTCCACGTCGAAGATTAAAGGTGAAACATTGACTGCTCCCACATGTGTCTACAGACTGCCGTTTACTGCGCTGTACTGCATGACGTAGCCGCGTGTTGGTGTGTAGACAAAAGACGTGTTTCTTTTTTATTGTACCTCCCTGACACACTGTTGAGACCCTTGTCTGTGTATGCTGTGAGGCTGAGCAATGGTGGCATGCTGCTGTTCTTTTTATGGATTGAAAATAAGTATGTTTGTGCATGGCGTGCCTGCCCTTCGAGAATGTGGGAATGAGAGAAAATGCCATCCCCTGATGTAAATCGTTTGAACAAACTGAAATTCATCGGTATGAGCAGCAGTACTTTTTGAAGGATGGAGGATCTGTCTTTGTGGTCTTTTCCATTTCAGAACTTGTCTGCCTTAAAAGAAGTTTCTTTAACTTTTTTTCACACAACACACATAAGTCCCCAATACTTGCCTTCTTTCACATTGGGAATTTCCTTCTTGAACATGATGAGCGGTGGCAACAAGTTGGGTAGTACTTTTAAATGTAAAGAATGCTTATCTAAAATATACCTTTGCACATCAGGCTAATGCAAAAACATCTTGCTAATTTGTTTTTTTTAGGGTTGATTTGGTGGCAATCTGGTCATGACTTTTTATCTAAAATATACGAAGACACTAGAAAAGACAAAAATATGTGGACACAGAACAAGCACTTGGTCGTTCTTTCTTGTGTCCAGATATTTTTTAGGTGCTTTTTCAGTTACGTTACGCTTCATTGACACGTAATGTTTCATCGATAGCTCAGATTAGTTCTTTTTGTGATGAACCGCCTCAGAATGTCGCCACGAAGCGGCATGAACGGGTGGGCCACTTGGTTTAACATTTTTGTGACGAGCCGCGGCAGACTGTCACCGCAAAGCAGCGTGAATGGCTGGGCCGGGTAGGTTAACACATGCCCCAGTGATACATGGGCGACGAAATGTCCCTGCAGCGTACAATTCGCATAATGAGTGTCGATGAAATGATAGTGACCCGAGTTGATTAGTATGCATCAGGTTTGAAACATGGTGTTTTCACTGACATAATTTCGTCCACCATTGTTATTTATGCCAGCTGAATGTCTGAAGGACGCACACACTGAGACAAACAAAAAAGCAGACACCGCTGAACTAGCAATTATTTTAATGAAATCTTTCTCTTTAGTCTACATATTATGTTAAACAGATTCTTTCTATTTTTTAATATATCTGAACCTTTGTGTTCTTTTTCTATATATCTGAACCTTCGTCTTCCTCTTCTTTCATGTGCCTGCCAAGTGTGCGGCTCTTCGCAGGTGTACCAGTTCCTTGTGGTAAAGCGCAATTTACGGTGCACTCGCGCAGTTTTCTCCCTTGCGTCACTAGCAAGGTCCTCGAGAATTTCTAGAGCAACCCTGGTGCAACTCTTTGCCAGGATGCCTGTTGGCAAGGCACATGAAAGACGAAGTAGAGGAAGGTTGAGATATATAGAAGAAAATATGAAGGTTCAGATATATAGAAAAAGAGGTAGAATCTGTTTAACCTAATATGTAGACTAAAGAGAAAGAAGATTTCATTAAAATAGTTGCTAGTCCAGAGGTGTGTCTGCTTTTTTGTTTGTATCTGTGTATGTGTCCTTCAAATGTTCAGCTGGCATTTTTAGCAAGCATGAACCGACTGGCTCGGCTTCAAGCCATCCACCATTGTGTTACGAGTTGTCTGGCACGTGCTGAAAGTGAGTATTGCGTAGACTTGCAGGACATCCTCAATTCAGGAGTGCACAAAAGCTTGTGTAAGTTTTGCCACACTTTTTCTTGTGATACATAATGGTAAAACATTTCCTCACTGACTTACTCTAGCAACAAATGGCAGATTGACATCATGTGAAAACGCTCTATATTGTGAACAAATTTATTTTTGCGGGCTCAAACTGACGTGAACTGCGGGCTTCTCGAATACGCGATTTGTAATGCAGCCCTTTAATTGTATTTGTAACCATGGGGTGGTATGCATTCATGTGATCAGCTTTATTATGTATTTTTCAAATCACAAAAAATTGTAAAATGGTAGAAAGTTGGACGAGTTGGTGGTACATATTTAACGAAAAAGTAAAACAGCACTAAAAAAGAGGAGGACAAGAAGACTAAGTGTACAAACAGAGCACTGACTCTCCACTGATTTACTGGAAGAAAACGCAAATCAACAAGCATCACGTTTCATCAAAAACCTTGTATCAAGCCTGCTCAAGAAGGCCAACGCTTTGTCAAGTAATGAGATGGAAGGCGAACTGACACACCTATATTTTTGGTTTGAAATATAAAAAGCCTCTAAAATTTCTCCAGTCATCTGTTGACTGTGTCGTCCAAAGATACCCCGAACACTGTGATAGATGCGGTTGCAAACCCGTTCTGGATAAAACGAGTATTTTAGGACAACACAGTCGACAGATGATTAGAGAAATTTCAGAAGCTTTTTATATTTCGAAGTAAGAAGGTAGGCACGTCAGTTCCAATTCTATTGTATTATTTAACAAAAAGTTGGCATTCTTGAGCAGGTTTGACACGTGCGGGGGGGGGGGGGGGGGGGGGAGGGCTTGAGGTTTTTGATGATCCGTCATACTTGTCGATTTGTGTTTTCTTCCAATCAGTTGAGAATCGGCACTCTGTACGCGTCGTTTTATTTTATTATTATTTTTTTTTTTTTTTTGTTAAGCATGCGAAAAAAGTTGTTTCGTTTTTGTCTCAGTTGTGGTGAATCGACGCGGCGCAAGGACATCTGTGAATGCCATTATTGCAATTATATATTTTCTTTCCTGGTATGAATGGTGCGGATATCCATGTTGCAATTGGCGGAAAAAATTCCCCGACTACGTCATCGAGTGAACGCAAACAACGGGATTTTCCCCGCAGGCCGCCGCCCGTACGTTAGAAAACGCTGGTCTCGATTTCGGTTTCAATTTTGTTTACTTTAAAGAGCCAAATAAAAAAAAAAACAATCAGAGGAGGGGGGGTGGGGGTACGAGCGCAGCGTCCGCGTTCTATTTTTGGCATCAGCAAAGGTTACCGAGGAAAGAGAAAAGTGAGGCCGAATGGACACGGAATAAAGTCGGTAGGCTGCCACTACCGTTACCGCATCACGCTCGCGCTGGCCGGTGTGGGTAAAGTCGACCTACTTCATGCTTTCAAAACAATGGCAGACGGAGGAACGAGCTGCACAACTGTGTCAAAATGCTTCACGGGTCGCAATTGTTCCTATGCACGAAACCGCCGACATTTCGTGTTTTCTTTAAACACCCTTTCCAGTTGAGAGGGAAAAAGTAAAGTTGGAAAGAAAAAGAGGCCTCTCAAATCTTGTATTCCGCGATGGACTGCAGACGACATCACGTGACCCTCGTGAGATCGACGCACGTTCGCAGTGCAGCGTTGTCGCTCGAAGCATCCGTTGCGGTCCATATAACTTTCGAAAACGCGAGAACAAAAGAAAGAAAATAAACTTATGGGTCCCGTGCTTTGAAAAACGGCACAAGAGCAAACTACCGAAGAAAAGAACGGACACCGGCCGCATGTTGAAATAGCTGAAGACTTCATAAGTGCCCAGGCGAGCTGGTGGTAGCTAATCACGTCGTTTAACACGTAAAACTGTAATGTAGAAAAGGAAAAAAAATTTTTTTAGTCCAAGGAACAGACAAAGAAGGGAACGTCTCGAACTCAGCTGTTTGAGACGATCCCTTCTGATTGAAATAGCTGCCTTGGCAACAGCAGAGCAGCAGCAAAGAAACTTCGGACCTTCGGACCTCCTCCCGCGAGGCTCTGGCCCAAAGTCTCAACCTGTTTCCCGGTAGGTCCGGTACTGGGGTAACGCCGACAAGATTTGACCAGAGGAGAATTGGCGACTTTCTTGCCGGGGAAAAAAAAAAAAAAGAAAGAAATGTCGAAAATAATCCCAGGTCATCCGGGTGGCTCCTGCGCGCACGAGCGCATATAAATACCAAGTACCGAACACTGCCTGGCTGGTGAGAGAGGGAAGGGTGATATTTGTCTTTATAGACTTAGGCTAGCTGGCGCAAGCTACCGCCCATTGCAAAGGGAATAGCTATTAATGTCCATTCATTTAAAGGAGCCATCGTCTGCTATCGTTTTTCGCCGTCCCCTCCAAAAAACGCGTGCGCGCGCGCACGCGTTGCGAAGCTTGTTGCAAAGTACTGCTAGTACTGCGAGGGCAATATTAACAGTACTTTGCCGGCACCTTTACCATTTTACCATGTTTTCACCAGCAGTACTTGACCAAGTGTTGAGCGTCGCTAACGTTGAGCGTCGCGCTCGCTCACTGCGCACGTAGAGTCGGTAGAGTCACTCCGATAGCGGAGGTGACGTCACTTGGTCGCGGTTGGCGGCGACGGGAAAAAGCGAACGTACCCCATTGGAGAGCAGTGGAGAGACGGGAACGAGGAGCCAGCAAGAAGGGCTCGTTCTTGGGACGACGGGACCACTTGCATGACTATGAGTCAGTGTGCCGCCGCTTACTTTGTGCGCCCGCCGGCGAGCAAGTTGTCAGCGCGCAGGTGACACGGGCCATGCTGTGCTCCGGCGACGAGCCCGTGCCGTTGCGTGCGCGGTAGGAAGCAGCAGCGCGGACGAGTCCCGACGACCGATCGGGGAAAATAGGCCTAGCGGGCGGGACCCGAAGGCACCGCCGCTTCGTCTTGGGACCGGCGGGACTCCGGCCAGCGCGCGTCATGCCGCGACTGGCGTCGTGATGCGCGAGTTCAAGGTTGTGGTGCTGGGCAGCGGCGGGGTCGGGAAGAGCGCCCTGACGGTGCAGTTCGTGCAGGGCGTCTTCACCGAGAAGTACGACCCGACCATCGAGGACTTCTACCGCAAGGAGATCGAGGTGGACCAGGCCCCTTGCGTGCTCGAGATCCTCGACACGGCCGGCACGGAGCAGTTCGCCTCCATGCGGGACCTGTACATCAAGAACGGCCAGGGCTTCGTGGTGGTCTACTCCATCACGAGCCACCACACCTTCCAGGACATCAAGAACATGAAGGAGCAGATCCTGCGCGTCAAGAACGCCGACCGGGTGCCCGTGCTCCTGGTGGGCAACAAGTGCGACCTGGACCACCAGCGCGAGGTGACGGTCGCAGAGATGGAGGCCCTGGCCCAGCTCTGGGGCTGCCCCTGCATGGAGGCCTCGGCCAAAAGCAGGTGCAACGTGAACGAGATGTTCGCCGAGATCGTCCGCGAAATGAACGTTCTGCCGCCCAAGGAAAAGTACAGCTACCGTTGCTGCGCGCTACTCTAGCCGCCTTTGCATCTGCCCTTTTCGCAGGACCCTGGTCGGCGGAATTCTTCCGAGGTGAGTGGCGGAGAAAGTTCTCGCAATACCCCTCCCCCGTCTCCTTTCCCGCCCCTGCATTTCTTCTCGCCATTGAGCGATTGAACCAGCGGCTCCAAACCGAGCTCTTTGTGTAAACTTTGTCGGGCGTTCCTCCCTCCCTCCCTCCTCCGACACGCGATCGGCGGCACACCCCTCCGCGGAGTTGTTTTTATTTTGCCCCGTCCCGTTGGGGTGAAAGCCAACGACTTGTTCGACGACCGACACTTGCCTCGTCGTTGGCTCTGCCTTTCTCCCGTTGCGTCTCCGTCCGAGACAAAGACTTATTTTTGCATTCTGCTCGCGTTTCGGCCAGCCTCCCGATCCTTTGTCGCTCGACTCATTCACCCGAGCCATCTCGAGTAGGGTATTGGGTATCTATAAACCTGGAGGAAGCGCTGCCGCAAATCGTTTCCCTTCGATGTTGGGCGCGAGCAGGCGTCACCGTCCGGTTGCTTTCGGAGTCGGGCAAGGTTGGCCGCTTTCCACATGGACAGCCACGAAAACAGCAAAAAAATTGTGTTGCTTGATGTTTGTTTAGACAGCCACTTGTCTCTTAGCTGCAGGTGAGGAATTTAGCGAGTGCAGCACAACCGCTAACCTGGGGCGTTTAACTTGCACCACACAGTGGTGATTACACGAACGCATACCAATAGGAAACTCATCCCGATGGAAATGGGCAGCAGGTGGGGATCGAACCTAGGAGGTTGTGCAGTGCAAGCTTTGGCTCCTTGCTCCCAGCTGAGAGGTCTGTCATTCCTGGCCCTGTACAAAGCCCCATAGAAAGGCAAGCACATCTCCATTTTAACTTTAATTGTCTGGCTCCTCGGAGTATTTGGGTTTTAGTAGATTGTTCCAGCGACCCCGCTAACAATTCCCAACACTCCGCCAACGCCTTTGGGAATGCATCGTATCGTCATCGGGCACCGTTATCAAAGATATCGAAATAACTCTCTACCAAGTCCCGATCACATCAAACCCACAAGTCAGCGACTTTCTTTTTACGAGAATTTGCAGGTTGGATTAGGAATCTGTGCTTCGGGGAATCGGTGAATCCAGTCTTAGTCTTCTGTGGTTCTTCTGGGATTTCATACAATTTGATTTAATATATGCTTAATGCTCCCAGGGCTTTACATAAGGGGGGCATACTCAAAAAATATTTAAGAAATGGAAAACGCAGAGATGTCATTGCTAAGTATTAAAAATAGTGGCTAGTGCAGCTCTGAAATCGGATGATTCCTGAATATTGACAATATTTTCTGAAAGTGAGTTCCAATCTGAAATGGATAACTGAAGCAGTGAAAATTTAAAAAGGTTTGTTCTTGGTGTGGTGAAATGAAGTTTTTGAAATGCAAACTTCGGATGAATGCCTATGATGAGCGCAAACATGGGGTCAAGGGTATTCTAAGTTTAAGTTTAGGCTCCCCTTACTTAGCCGGCAAACCGCTTCATCGGGGAGCTATCTGGAAGCCGGAAGGGCAAGGGAGCAAAATGGCTCGCAAATCAAACACTGGTGCCTTTTTACGCAATCCAGTTGGAAATGAGGCTTTGTGATTGGCTTGCACACTAGAGAAACCATCTTAGGGTGACCAAAGTCTATTTCAATATCAGCGCAAAAGAATGCAGCGGCGAATATATGCATAGAGGTCTGGCACCTGGTGAATAGAGAAACGACTTCATTTCCGCTGTTTGAATGGACGAAAGAGAAGCCAGCACCATTTGCCACTCTTTGGCCATCCCGGGAACTTCGGGAGCTGCATTCGGCCAGAGCCGTATATTGGGAGAGTTTGGCCAGTGGGTGTGGCGACGGAGGCGCTGGAGAGGAGAAAAGTAAATGAAAGGGAGGAGAGCGCCGAAGGAGCGAGAGAGAAGGAAGGGAGCAGAGAGGTGACGACCGCCATTTTTTAGCAACGCTGTCGGAGACTGGTCGGAGAAGAGCACTGCTGAGGCTACCTGTCGTCTGCTACGGGCCGACTTCTTTTTTGCCTGAATAAAAGTTTGTGGCCATACGCCGAAAAATCTTCATTTATTAGCTTTTTAACCCACCGAGGAATAACAGAATGTCATTTTCTTGCAAGAGCCAACGATATAAAAGGCAATAGTCGAGATTTAGATGCCGATCCCACGCATTCCGTCGGGAGAATGATCGAAGATGGCCCTCCCCACTCAGGTGGGAGCAGCCGGGAGTTCACGCGCATGCGCTCATGCCTCTCGCTCTACGCGGCGTGCTGATTGGCTCACTTGGGAGGAGAGCGTTACGGTGGCGAGATCATAGACTGACCAAACTCTCCCCATATACGGCTCTGCATTCGGCTGGTAGTGGTCGCGCTCTTGACAACGGAGCACGGTGCGCACTGACAAGAGTTGAAAAATAAAGGAGAACATGAAATGGCGGTGCACGATTATGGCAGCAGCACTGTTAGATGCATAAAACAACAAACTGCTTCCTGCTGAAAGTGTGACGTCATGGCTCCAAATACTGTAATCAGTTTGCCTTGCTGCATACCCGACCCGCAGAAACAATACGGAGCCTCGCATACGTCCAACGATTTCTACCACAAGAACTACATTTAATTGGACATGGACGAGACAATCAATACATTAACATTGTTACCAGCGGCGCTGGAGTTCAGGCAGTGACTGCCCGTGCTCCGCCTCTGAAGCGCCTTATGAAGGTGGCGCGGGAAAATTCGCCACCTGTGCCCCGTAGTCGGAGCAACTGGGCTGGGAAGCCACTAGGGTGCCCACAATACATGGGATTAGATTTCGCTCAGAAAGAATGATCGGTCAAAAATCGAACTTGAGGTGTAAATGTCTAAAAATAATTGATATAGAAAGCCTGGATCTCACACTTACCTTTGCTGAGGATTGGCCCTTTCTGAAAAATTTGCGACGGCAACTAACGGTCCTTAAGACGTCCCGAGATGCCTGCACCAGACGACGAACACATGCGGAATGACTGAAGTCTGCAACAGTTTGAATCATTTGCATAGTGATATGATTTTGATCCTGTATTTAATTGGAACTTATTTGATTGGTCTAAGAATACTCACCAGGTTTATAAAAGACAAATTGTATTTGCGTACAATACTGGATACTGTTTGATACAAAATCATCCCACGTGTGGAAATCTGCTAAAAATATGGCGAGAGAAGCATCTGTTTTACAGGACACCCAAGCAGCGTCAGGCCCTCTTTTTGGTTTTGCAATCGGCGTGCATTGTAAGCAAGCAACTATTTTGACTAACGTGAAAAGCGAATCGAGAGCCTAGATTTTGTTTGCAGGCTTGCAATATCAGAGTGTGTTTCGTATCTGCATGCAACCACTACGGTGAAAAAAAATCTTGCCGATTATTTCGTTTTTAGCAAAAGATCCAAGTAAAAACATCAGGTATATCTGCTACAAACAGTTTGTTTGATCACACAAACATGCACTGAAGCAGCTTCTGTGCCATCATACTTAAAAACTTGTACTGGCCTGTACTTGGACGTTAATAAACTTGACGTCGTCGTAACTTATTATTGTTTACCTTTCCTAAATATAGCGGAAGCCTCTAAGGGCTGGTATTGGCATGCTCGCGCACCTCGAGCATCGATCAAAGGGACACTTTTTCGAAATCCCACAGAAAGTTGACCTCGAGAATACAAGTTTTGTCGCACGTCACCAACTTCATTCAACGCAGTCATGTGCTCCATCAGAAAGGACCACTGGACAAAACTGGGCTTGCAAAGCCATCAGGCATCTGCTAACAAGGCAACATTGGTTGTAAAACTTTATTACAGGCTTTTATCATAGCTATATGGCACTAAGATGATAGAAAGAGTCTTCATGATTAGCTATTGAGAAGACATAATGCTTACGAAAAAAATGTTCACTTTTTTATCAGTCAAATTTTAACCTCGCGTCAAGCATTTGTCCATGACAATGGCACTAGCAACTGTTTGTTTGGAGCACAGCACCATGTTGTGACGTCATCACTAACGGGCTCAATGCGCACATGCCACTGATCTCCTCTAGGGAGCTCCACCATTGAGCAAGCAGGTATGAAGTCACCGGAAGTAAGCAGTTTGTCTTGGAAGTGAGCGTTTGACAGGCTTTTCAACTCTTCCGAGTGCTGGTTCAAACAGCATCCAGGGTGCTGGATTTTTTCTTGTCGACTCAAGAGAGCCTGCTTGTTGCGGAGTGACAGTGCATCCAGACCCGAGGATGCCACTTGTAAAAATATTGAGAATCTAGTTGATCAAGTATGAATATGTCCCCCACTCAAATGCCTTATTCTCAGGATTTAATTAAAAATGAGATTCTTAAAACCCACTCAAAGACACAAGACAGCTTCGACCAATACATGGACTTGATTTGCACTAGGCTAGAAAAGCAGCTATAGTAGAGATGAGTGGTACATGCAACACAAAGAATGTGGAATGTGTCCAAAGCCAGTTGTAGGAGGAGCGGCTTGAGGACGGCCTTGATGAATATCGGAGACTCCCTCAGGTGCCTCTTGCAACATGAGTACCAGCGCAACCTACAACAAGTTAGACGATTGGGATGCCACAGCCGCTGTCTTGCTGAGCAAAATCTCTCAAGTTGCCGTACGTGCAAACAAAACACTGCCAATTGCGAAGAGATCCCACGCCAAGGCAGGGACTGTTTGTACAGCCCGAACAGAACCTCCACCATCCCCCTGGGATGTGTACATCACTGTGGCTCCAGGCAAAGGTGTGACATTCTTACCACATGATGCTCTTCCCGGGGAACAAAAGGAGGGAGTTCTGCCCCGTGTGAATAGCACTTAAAGGGAACCAGAAAGAATCACGCTAGTATGTTCGGAACAGCCCGGTTTTCCTCCTCACTGTCATCTCCAGCCCTTGTGGTTGCAAGCACCCTCACGTTTCTCAAAAAACTGACCCAGTGGCCAGCACTTGCACCTGACATCGAAAGGAGAGAGAGCCCCGTCTTTTCG